GATTAATGTGAGCTTAATACTTGAGGGGGAGCCTCGTGTCTTAGAAGATTTTTTAACATTTTTCTTTGTTAACAACTAACTATTAACTGAGTTTTTTCTGTTTTGCATGCTTTGCTTATGCTGCTGCTATGATAATGTTTTAGCCAAAGGGAGAGTTTGTAAGGGTTTGTTGGCAGCAATTTTGGTAAAACAATGACTTGATAATTTTTGCTAAATCTATTAACATTTGAAGCAAAACTGTTTTTAATGATGTCAAAGCAGATGTCTTGACATCTGCTTTCTGAACTGAACTCAGCCCAATATCAGTTCATGTTTTATGTTTCCTGATTTCCTGCGCACCATAATTCAGGATTTGTGACTCACAGGCTGCGAAAAAATATGGAGGAATATTTTTCAAATTGCATGGATTTTATCTTGGCCTGTTTTTATGGAAATATTCAAAAGAATTGAATATTTGGTTTTAAGCCCAAGCCCACAGCTGCGCATATATAAGAATTTGCTTCCTTATTCAAAGATGAGAAACTTTTGAAGAAGAATACCTTCTTTCTGTCTTAGAAGTCTAAGTCTTTTAATTGTCAAACACTCTAGTATTGAATTAATATTTGTGTTGTTATTTGGATTGTTAATTTTCTATCATTCATAAGCTTTTAAGCATTGAATGATTGAAGTTTTTAAACTTATTATTTCTGTTGTTTCTTCATTGTAAGTGATTGAAGGGATTTAAGGAGGGCCTCATACCTAGGTGAGTCTTAGGTAGAAGTATAGCACGGGTAGTGATTAAGTGATTAGATCGTAAACTGGTTGTTTACTAAGGGTCTATGAATTGGTACTATTTAGTGAACGTGTCTCTGGCTTGGTATCCCCCAGAGTAGTTGTTGTTGTAAACTGAATTGGGTGAACAGTCTCTTGTATTTTTACTGCTTTTGTTATTACTTCTCTTTACTTGTAAACAGATATTTGTGTCGTGACATCTCCTTTGACATCACATATCTGATACTAGAATTTCAATCTTCATGAAGATATCTCAAGCCACATCAACAAGACTCGAGGCTCTTATGTTATGCTAAAGCCAAAGAAAATAATGTCAAGACTCGAAGCTTCAGAGTTGTGAAAGACTTCATTTTTCGAAAGTTACAATATGTCTTGACCTATAAATTGAGAGAATCTATATTTCTTTTTCACATCCAAAAAACTTGAAAAACTTCATTTTTCGTTTCTCTTATCATCTCTCTAAAGCTCTCATTTTCTCACATTTTTAGCTACAGTACTTCAAGAGTGTTTTGTGGGCCTAAGAGAGGATATTTGTTCTGGTTGAGGGCAAAGTTGTAAATTTATCAAGAGTGAATTTTTCTCTTGTGTAAATAATCTTCCATAGGAAGTTGTTATTTTGGTTGTGAGTTAAACCAGTTAAAAGCTTTTGTATTTTTTAGAGATTATCTTAGGAAGTATTCATTTGGTTCGTGAGTTTCGCCATTGAAGAAAAACATCTCTTTTTGTTCGTGAAGACCAGCCAATAAAAGTCTCCACGAAGGTTCTTGAACCCGGTCTATTTAAAAGCTCTATCGATTCGAGATCACCCCGGTTAAAATCTCAATTAGTTTATGAGTTTAGTCTGGTGTAAAAACTCAATAGCCAACTTGAAACTTATTCTTCATTAGAGATCAACCCATGCAAAAATATTTGTTTGATTTGGAGACTAACTGCTTTAAGTCTTGTTCGATGTTTGGTTAGAAGTTAGTCTGAAAACTTCATATCTTATATGAGAGGGTTTGTGGGCAGAATCTTCTAAAAACTCACAAGTTTAGTAGATACTATGAAGAATAATTTTTGTAGACATGATTAGGTCTTTTTGACCGAACTTGTATAATTCTCTAATGTTATTTCTCTTCCCTTATCTCTTTTAATTTCTATAAAAAAATTATGTGGTTTTCTACTGATTTATTCATTTGATTTATAAAATATTTTTAAACTCTAATTGTCCAGATGATTTTGTTTTAAACTAAAGTTTATCAAACCTCCACAGTGTACCCTCCCTCTTGTGTATGGGAGTCACATGTTCAACAAGTGGTATCAGAGCCTAACCTCTATTTAAAGATTAATCATCTCAAGAAAAAGATGATTTCCAACACTTTTTGAATAAGAGGACTTTCCTAAATACACCTCCATCGTTTAGTTTTGATAGGTTTGAATTTTGTAAAGCTGGATTTAAAATTTTTATTTAAATTCTTGATCTTGAATTGTGGAAAGCAATATAATCAATTGTTCGTTATCCATACTCCTTATGTTAATGGTGAAGTAGTAAATAAACTTGATTTTCTTTAGACCGTAGAAGACAAGAAAAAGTTCGAAATTGATTCCTAAGCTATAAAAAATTTAGTTATGTCTTTAAATAAAATTCAATTTCTTTATGTCTTTAATTGTAATTTCGCCAAGGAGTGTACTCTTAAAATGATCTATGAAATATCTTCAAATATCGAACAAGATGGAATGAACACACCAGACAAAACATCAGATGATTGTGAAGGTTACTTTAACAGACTGTGTTTAACCTTTAGAAATCTTGGAAGCCATGTTAAAACTTTTGTCATTAACAAATATCTAAAAGTTAAGAATTGAAATTAGAAATATGATTCAATCCTAAATCAAAAGTTAGGAATGTTTATAAGTTTCAGAAAAAAAATACAAGGAATAAGTCATTGAAAAACTAAATGCGTTGATTCAACTGATAAAAAATGAAGAGATACGCTCAAACCTAGAATAATCTTTAGCAACTTCATCAAAAGAAGTAAAATCAACTACAATAATTTCTTTTGAAAGAAATTAACTCCATAGATTAAAAGAAAAGACCTTGGACAATTCAAGTATTTCTTAGAAATTAAAGTAATTTCCTCAAAACAAGACATTTTTATCTCTCATAGGAAATATGTGTTTAATCTTTAGTAGAGAATAAGGAAACTTGGATGCAAGTTAACAATTGTTCTCATTGAGCAAAATCAAAAGGCAAACCTCGAGGAGGAAAATACCAAAGTTGACATGAGTCATTATGAGAGATTAGTGAGAAAGATGATTTACTTGACACATATTAGGCCAGATTTGGCATATACCATTAATATGGTTATAGAATGTGTTCTATAATATCTCATAGTCACTATATGGAGAGGGCTCTTGTTTAAAGAGATGGAAGTCTAATTATTGAAGCTTACATTAATGTTGACTATGCAAGTTCAATGAGTGATAAAATATCTACTTCAGACTATTGTACCTTCTTCTATGAAAACCTAATTGCTTGGAGGAGTAAGAAACAAAGTGTAGTTGCCCAATCAAAAACTAAAGCATAATTTGGAGTCATGACACAAGGAATTTGTGATTTGTTATGGAAGAAACAAGTGTTAAAGGAGTTGAAGATATAATGTGAATGTCCTATAAAATTGTTGTGATAATCAATCGACCATTAATATTGCACATAATCATGTTCATCATGACATCACAAAACATATTGAAATTGTCCGTTATTTATCAAAGAAAAACTAGATAGTTTGATTTTACATCCTACATTACTTCTGGATATCATATGAAAGATTTATCAACAAAACGATTCAACCAACTTACTCGGAAGCTTGTAATGATTGATATCCATTCACCAGTTTGATGAAGAGTGTTTAAAATATTATACTATAAATAGCAATTTTATAATATTAGATTGTTGCTCATTAAACAAAGCCTATTAAATTATTATTTTTCTTCTTATTGTAGTGATAAACATTGTAATTACAGCTTTCCATATAATATATCACTCATGAGCTTTATATACAGAACATGATTTATTAATCCTTTTCTATCTTTTTCAATCAATTGAATAGTGTTTCATATGAAGTCTCTTCTATATATGTCTCTAGTGAATATGGTTTGTGTATGCATCCTCCGCAGTAATAGTATTACTACATGTAATTGAATGTCTTCATCACTCAAAAGAGTATACTACGTTTCTTCACAACTTTGAAATTCTGTTGAACATTCCAACTAGGTATAAATCCTTAAACGCCATGGACAAATTTTAACATCTGTAATTCTCACCTTAAAGGTGCATTTTACCTTCATCCAAGTTGATTCTAGCTCAAGATTTCCCAACTTTGTTTCGCGGAGATTGTGTTCAAAACTAGAGAAATGCATAACTTCTCACTTATGACGCTATTGCAGAAATTTGCATCATAGCTGTCATCAGAAATCTAGTGCAAGGAATACATTTCATTCATCAAATACAACAATATTCGAAAGCTAATTTCGCTAAGTGGAGTCAGCTACATAGATCAAATTATGTCATAATATTCTATCAAATACCATGTTTCTATCCAATTCGTTAATCTTAAGATCTTTCTTAATAGTTTCTCTTATAGTTTTTCTAGATCTTTCTCTATCTCTAGCTGTTTAACTACTCTCCAATTCTAGATCTTTCTCTTTCTCTAGATCTTTCTCTTATAGTCCATGTGATTCATTCATCAAACGGTCATGCTAAAATTCATTCATCAAAATAACTCCTGACCAAACTCAAAAGAATAATCTGCTTTCCATACTTCACAAAATGAGAAGTTGAGAACCAGAATCGCAATATAGAAAACATGAAAAACCATACCAATTGTGAAAGCTAATATATGCAAATGACGGTCGAAAAAATTAATCAACTTTGAGAAACTTCCAACGTACGCATAAACTAACATCTCATACCAGTAAACAATCTCAAAAGACATGAAATGGTGCATACCATATAATACAGCAACAAAGACACTATGCTTCTAATAACTAAATGTTCAGCACCTAATCATATAGATGTGCTTCATATCTTAATAAACCACCATCTTAAAACTAACACATCATATAATAAAAGTAGCAAAAGTAATAGTTGAAAGTTAAAGCCGAATCAAAACCTCAAATATCTTCTTTGGTGATTGATTATCAGAAATGATTCATTCAAAAGAAAACCTTGAATTCAAATTTCCTGTCACTCACTCTTGTTCAAGTTGCTTAAAATACTTCAAAGCACCAACCATGTCTCCTTCCAAGACCCTAATTCGATCAACAACCTTGCAGAAGGATCTTAGATGCCGATTTATATCTCCGTCTTCCCTCTCACATCTATCCATTGTAACCTTAATACCCCTCAACAAGCTATTACATTCATCAACCATTTCAAGATACTCGAGAACACGATTTTGATGAACCTTGTTACAATCCATGTCTTTCTCCAATATCTCTTCAAATCCAACCTTAATCAACTCCAGATTCTCACTGCAGCTAAAAACCTCTCCTCTCAATACCTGCCATGCTTCATCATCATCGGTTTTAACTTTCTTGAAACTATGCACGACGCGAACTTTCTCTTTCAGCTTCAAATGTAAAACAGATTGAACATTATCTGGTTTACTTCCAGAAAATTCTGAAAAATCGCTTTTTTCCTCGACGGAAACGACTGAGGAAAGTGGTGTTATTGGTTTGTTAAACCCGTTTTGACAATAACCCAGAAAGAGAAAAGCTGATGCAGCTGCAGTTACTGTCACAAAAGAGGGAAATTTACGAATAGGGTTAGGAAATTGAGGAGATTTGGGTTCTGGGTCAACGTTTGGAAGTTTACGATTAGGGTTGAAAAATTGGGGAGATTTGGGTTCTGATTCATGAAGAGGAGAGTCAAGATTTGGAATTTGGTGAAGAGGGTTGGAAAATTGAGGGGTTTTGGGCTCTGGGTGTTGAAGGGAATCTGAGGAAGCCGATGAAGCTTTGATGGAAGATGATGATGGTGAAGATTGTGAGAGAAAGAGTGAAGAAGTGGTTGATGATGATAGAGAAGGGTAGATGGAGGAACAAAGAGGTTGGTGACGGTGGTGAAGTGAAGTAAGAGCTTCCATCGATCGTGCAGTTGAGGTGTTTGTGGAAATGCGCAAAGGGCTGAGAATATGAACAAGTTGTTTTGTTTCTTTGAAACAGAATATAGGGCAAAAGGAACCGCTCAAAGAAGCTTAAATTGGTAAAAGGGAAAAACGTTTTCATTCAAATTGTTTATAACTATAATTGATTGATAGGATTATCTATAATAATATAAAAATATTAGATGTTGTAAAACAATTTTTTTTCTCTCTGTCTTCCATTTCATCAAGCGTGGGGTATTTTGTATTCAAAATTTATTTTTTGTAATCAAATTGTATTATTGATTCTATGTCAAACATATTTACAATGAAATATGTACAATTTAGAAATCCATTTGATGTTGGTTGTTCAAGTACAACTATATGATTTCAAAGTATCAACTATTTTGAATTCAAAAAGTAATTTTCGGTAAACAATGTTCACTGTGATACGGTGGGAGAACTGATTTGAGAGTTTTGCGTTTGATCGCAAATGTTGCGGTTAGCAAGAGTCGCCATCAACTTTTCTTTTATCCAAAAGAAAGGGTGAAAAAACACATGAAAGACCTTTGAGATGGTTTCTTGAGTTCGGGGGATAGATTATGAAAATGGAATGTATTAGCACCCCTTTCATCTATGGTTTTCTATGGGCTCTTGTTACTTGCTAGATCACTTGCTTTTGTTTGAAATTGTGTTTTGTGTAGTTTTTGAAAGTATTTTGTAAATAGGCCATTGTTTAGGCAATCTTTGTAATGATTCTTGTTTGTAAGAATGTATACAAAGATGTTTGATCTTTTGAAAATGTTTTCAATTTTGTAAGATGTTTGAAAGTGTATGTGACTATTTTGAAAATAGCAAAGATGTTTGTTTTGAAATGGAGCAAGTAATTAAGAGCAATCTACCTACTCAAAAGTCGTTCATGTTCATTTCCTCTTTCCTTTAATATTGTTATCTTACCATTGATTTGGTAAGTAACCATATCTTTGGATGTAAAAGGGACGGGCGTGGGTCATCGTATAACCACGATTAGCAATGTTGCAAGGTATCTTAGTATTTTTTTTAAGGGACTAAGATCATTTGTAAGGCAACTTAGATAGTGTCATCGAGGGACTATGATCGTCTATTCGTTTGTTTTTGCTAAGATACCTCACATGCGTAATATGGTCATTTTACAAGGCAACCAAGTGAATTTTACCCTAGGGGTGCTTGTGTGCAAGTGTATTGATTTTCATGCTTGTTTTTGTCTTGAATTAGGGTTTTCTACTTGATTGATTTTATTCTTTCCATACAAACCCTAATTACTAACATGTTATGTAAAATCGATAAATTGCGAAATTTAAAGTTACTACGCTATTACAACATTTATGGGGAGGGGGTGTACAATTGATAAATGAGAATTGCAAGAATTTAAACCTAATTAATCTATTACAATCAAATTGAATTTATACAATAATTTAAATAAATAAATATACAAAAATAAATATGCAAGAATGTAAATGCAAAGAAAATGGATCTTTTTGTTTGGATTTTTTTATGAGAAAAAAGGAATTTGTTTTAACCTAATTAATTAAAATAAAATAATTAATTAGGTTTAAATTTATTAAGAAAATATTTTTGAATAAAACCCTGATTCTACTTAGTTGATTAAAAGAAAATAATGTTAGAAAAAAGTAATTTTTTTTTTGTATTTTTGTCTTGAAAGTATTTATGGCATCATAAAATATTTTTAGTCTTTTTTATATCAAAAATAATATATTTTAATAGGTGTAAAAGAAAAATAAATATTGACATAGTTTTAATTAAATTTACAAGGTGATTTGTAAAAAAATAAATAAAGTATAGTTAAAAAATACTTTTTGTGAAAAAAAATAAAATAAACTAAATTAAAATGAAAATCTAATTTTTTTATATTTTTTATGATTTTTAGTATTAGTGAAAAAAAATTAAGAAAAAAACAAATAAAATAAAAATAAGAAAATAAAATAAATTGGGTCAGGGGTGCATGAGCAGGCAGGGAGGTGAGCTAGCAAAAATATAAAAAAAACAATACCAGGCCCAAAGGGCCCAGCGCCTGCAAAAAACATGTTAGAAAGTCAAAAAATATGAAAAATGGGCAAAAGGGTACCACTGGGGCTCGAACCCAGATCCCATGGATTAACAGACGCACGCTTTACCACTGGGATGGTTGTACATCCGTTTATATAAACAAAACAATAAATATGTAAGGCAAATCAAGTCTTGATGACTTCATCTTCAACCTTCAGCCGGTGTACCTGTAACTTCTTCATTTCTCAACAAAAATGGAAGATGACAAAATGAAAGTTGTTGCATTCTTCCTCACGAATCTAACCATGTAAATAACTAAAGCTAAAAGTCAAAGATAAATGAGAATTTATTTGGCCCTAATTTGAACCCTAAAAATTTCAGAAACTTCAACTCTAAAATTCTCTAAGCTCAGGTCATGTAAATGTAAACTATGGATATGTACAGCTTCGTGGCAATGAGGTCTATATTTTATCTTCACAAATGCAAGTCTAACAATGCCTAAGTAATGAGATAGAAGTTCAAGAAAAATACCTCAAAACTGGAAATCGTGAAATGCAAATGAGCTTGATTCAAAGTGCTGCAAGGATCAGGTTAGCTTCCTTGAGGTCCCATGAAGCTAACGCAATGATTAGCTTGAGCTGAAAGTGGCTGAGGAGCTTTGGAGAAGTCAAGTTACAGACCCTGTTTTTGAAAATAGAACTTGATGATGAAGGTGTTACAGTTGAGCAAATGGACTTTGGATGGTTTATATTTGATGTTTAGAAGCTTTTGGAAGTGAAAGGCCAAAGAACGTACGGGGGGATTTAGAGTTTGGTATGTAAAGTCAGAACTTGCACAACAATGGTGTTTTGAGACAATTTATGGATAGAGGGAGTTTGAGTTAGTTTTAGGGTCTTCAAGCTCGTGTCCTAGCTCACAAATAGTGACTCTATTTATAAGCAACAAGTTTGGGATGCTCTTGTTGATCAGAATTTGAATTTGCATCCTTAAGCTAAACATGTGATTTTTTGACAAAATAAGTTTCAAAGTCTTGTGTACTTGCTAAGATAGAGTGGTTATACTTTAAACAAACTTGCTTCTGAATTTGTGGATGGAGTGTGACCAGAGATAACAAGTTAGAGGCTCAATGTGAACTTTATGCAAAAAGCTTGCTTTACAAGAATGGCATTGTTAACTTTCTTCTCAAAATGACAATGTGAATTGGATAAAACTTAAACCACTTGGATTATAGCTCAAAAGTTTGTGTAATCCATTAATTATGGAGTTACAAATAAGTTTGAGGCCTGCAAAGCAAAGATTATGCAGCCTAACATTGAAATTGCATTTGTGTTCATCATGAAAATGACCTATAATTCAAGTGACAAAACACCAACTTCATCGCTTCGATTGTCCCTACTCAAGAATGATCTCAAGGAGTTCTTGGACATTTTTGAAAGCTCGAAATGTGCTATACAACTCATCTTTGAATTTCTTTTGAATATTCCCCTTGGAACTATGTGAAAAATTGCCATGAAGTTAGGTCAAAAATCTGCCTAACTAGGGCAAAATTTTAGTCTTTTTTAGTTCATGAGCTTGTATTCAAAAAATTATAACTTAAGATCCAAGAATTTTTAGGAGAAGTTGTGTGAATCAAAGTTGTAGATTTCATGAAGATATACAACTTTCATGTTGGAAGTTTCCTTTGAATCATCTTGCATCATAATGAAAAAATTGCTCAAAGTTATGAAAAAAACATTAAATTTCCAACACTTAGAAAACTTTCTAAGTTTAGAAATTTTGACTTTTCAAAATGAAATCTTGACTTTTTGATTTCTTGATGAATAAGTTTCATATTTTTACATGTTTTGATGAATTATGATCTTTGGCACTTGAATTTGACCAAAAAGTCAAGGTTTGACTTTTCAGTACAGTTGACTTTTGATCAGTTGACTGCAAAATTTATCTGTCAATCCAATGGACTTGCAATGTTTTGAACCCTATCATTAGGTCAAAATTATGAAATTGGACTCTTGAGATCATGCCTTAAACCAATTGATCAATTGTTAGGTCAAAAAATCAGAAATTGCCCTTTTCCAGTCAAAACCCTAATTTTGACCATTTTGCCCTTTTGGAGATTTGATCAAACTTCTTGAGGAATTATGGTCCAAACTTGATCAAATGATACATATGGGTTTAAAATGTTGACGTGGATAAAAAATTATGAGGTTTGACTGTAAATTGGCCATGGTTGACTTTTTTCCCTAATACAACTGATTTTTAGGTCAACTGTTCAATTGACTGATCAAAAGTGTGATCCAAGCTTGAAACTTGACATGAGTAATCTTGGGGGTCCATAATGGTCCATGAAATTCATATTAAGCATTTATAGTTCAAAAATCCTTGTGCAAACTCAAACCCTAATTTTGTTCATCAGTGCCTAAGGAGGTGTCTCGAGCTGATCAAACCCTAGTGTAGTCTTGAGCCCAAGGAGATCTTGTGAGCAAATTCTTGATAAGTGAGAGGGAAAATTTTGGGGTACAACAACTTCCCCTGTTCAATCTTCTTAAGCATGAAGAGTTAGATTGGCATGTTTTTCCAGTCGTGACTCGAAGGTGGAAGATGATTAGACACTAGAGTGCCCAGAAATTTGCACTCGGTGATGTGATGGTTGAGGGAATGGGCTTAAAGATTCCATTTGGAGAAGTGATAGAAAGTTTTTGGATATGGGCTTGTAGATGCCATCCAAGAGTGATTGTTGGTATTGTAATTTGTAAGCTGAAAGAATGAGTATCAGAATGGCGTCCGTGTCTGGAGCGTATCTGAACTGTATCGGAAAGATAGTTTTGAATGATTATCAGAATGACATCTGTGTCTGGAGCGTATCTAAACTGTATCTGAAAGCTAGTTTTTAATGAGTGTCAGAATGACATCCGTGTCTGGAGCGTATCTGAACTGTATCTGAATGAGTATCAGGATGG